GATTGTAGGGTTATATAGGGATTATGGGGATTATATTGGGTTTAATGGAAAAGAAAATGGAAACTACTATTTAGGGTTTGGGTTTATAGTCCCCCTTAAGTAGATAGAATATGGTTTTAAGTGTATCATAATGAGATCCCCATTAACCCATATTCTATGTACTTGAAAACCAGCAGGGGCCCATGTGCATGGCAGGAGGTGGAAGCCACGGTGCCGGAGGACATGCCCGAAGAGGAGGAGGTTCTTCTTGCATGGAGAGAAACCCTAAACCCTAAGCCCTAAACCCCTAAACCCCTAAACCCTCCAAATACCCTATTATAATATAGTAGTTTCCATTTTCTTTTCCATTATCCCAGTATTAACCCCAATGCTAATTAACCCCCTTCTGAGTGCAGAGTTCTCTGTGCAGTTTGGGGTTGGCTTTGCTGAAGCCGGGGCCGCAGCTTTCAGATCAGCTTCATTTCATTTTCGCTCGGGCTGGCTCGGGCCGTACCTAGCATCAACTAATGATGGTGACAGCATGTGATGGAGATCAAGGCACTCGACTCCCCACAAGCCGCCAGCGAACGTGGCAGGCCCAAATCTGCTGGCTCACCCGTTGCCCTTTGGTCATTGGGGTCAGTAGGGAATAAGGGAACCTTATCGCTATACAATTAATAGCTTCCCTTACTCCACCTACTACCCGCCAGTACGTTTGGTTCTGGGAAGTTGGGGGCCAGATCACCAGCATCACCTGCTTCAGCGGCTCTCAGCCCTGACTCGAGACAGGATGCGGCCTCAGCATTCCATTGGGGTAATTTGAGGGGTTATATGGGGACAATGGAAAAGAAAATGGTAACTACTCTACTGTAAGAAGGAATACATTATGAAAGGAGGTAGGGTTCTTGCTTCCATCTTTCCAGCAGTACCTGGCCATGATTGCGAAGAAGCAGCTTGGTACCTGCCCCACGGACCGCCAGTATTTCGCGAGGGGCGACGAACATCGTCGCGGCACTCTGGCTCGGCACGTAGGCAACTGGGAGCTTTGTCGTTACCATCTGTCTGGTCTGCGCAAAACGTCAGCTGTTGTAGAAGCAGTGCATACGAAGCCATGGAACACAGAGGATCTATCATTGGCATGTCTGCTTGTCGAAAGGCCATCAGCAAGAAGAGAGCTCAACTTTGGCGCCTTCTGAAAATGGTGCCAGCTGAGTCAGTCTTGATGCCTAACTTCCTGCTCACATCATCTCGCATCACACCAAAGCATGCGTGGTTTGAGAAGAGGAGCTGAGATGTGACCCGCTGTGGCTCAAGCTGCCCAGTCAGGGGCAATTGGGGCCAGCCGCGGCTCTTGAACTGATCATGGTTTTTTTCGTGGGGGCTCGTGACATGTAGCGGTAGTGGAGCCACCTCTTTCTCACCTACACCAGCTCAAAGCACGTGGTAAGTGCACAGTTTGTGCAGGCTGTCGTAGCCTAGAGTGAAGCGAGACCCGAGCAACTTCAGCCTTCTCTAAAGAGAAACGAGTGCAAGACAGATAAACCATTTTGAGTAGCCAGCATGGCGCAGGGAGCTTACGCGAGCTTCCTCTTCCCAGCATAACATCAATACTGGCATTCTTTTGGTTCTGAGGCGCCACTCCCGGAGCAGGAGTAAGAGTCGCGCCAGCCCTCAAGCCCAGAGAGCATGGGGATATGTGAGCTGTGGACGTGCCGCATGATTTAAAAAACTCCTGTTGGCCCACAGGCCCGGATCGGCGCTCCGAGCCAAAGAGGTCCCCAGAGCGGCGGCGGAGGCGCAAGCGCTCGGAGAACCGACAGCGGCCGAGGCGCTGTATGGCGCTGTGGTGCCATGATTTTTTTAATGGTTGTTGTTACTTTTGCTTTGGAAGGAGCCGTCCACGTTCTGCCTCGGCGCGGTCGAGGTCCGGGTCTGGCAAGAGGTCTCCGCCAGCAACCGAGACGGCAGTCCTGAAGCTCCTTGCAAGCCTCAGTTTGAGCAATGTTTAGAGCACAATCCTGGCTCCCCTTCAAGGCCAAACCGATCGCCTCCTCCGCGCTCGCCACGCAGAAGGAAGAAGTCTAGATCCGGCGCAGGCAAAAGCAGGCACGCTCTGCGCGAGCTAACAGACTTTTCAGCTTCCTGTTATGCCAGCATCCCCGAATGCAAGACTCATCGCTTAGGAAGACTGGGCTCAGGCTCCCACTCGCGCTTCCTGACCCAGCCCATCAACATAATTTCTGCTGCTGTCCATTCTTCTTCTGTCGGGTGTTTTCAAGATCGCAAAACACCGTTAACCAATCTTGTTTATCTTGACATCACATTGATATCTCTGGTTCAGGGATCGCAGCCGACCTGCACGCTCGCCGCGCAGCCGCAGCGGTGCCCGCAGAAGACGGGACCTCAGCTGGATCCAGGGCCTGTTTGCCGTGGTTTCTCTTATTTTGTTGTCATAGTAGCATTCTTTTCTTGAGCACCGTTTCTGCGGCTTTCCTATTTGTATCAGGAATCGCAGCAAGTAGCTAATAATGCTTCACCGCTTTGCAATCCTTGATGATGATGATGATGATGATGATGATGATGCTATACCACTAGTGTTCACGAGCAGTTGTGCGGTCACAAGCCAGGTTCGTCTAGGAAACATCTTCTCAAACTCTCAGGAAGTCGAGGGCGAAGGCGACCACGCAGCCGAAGCCGCGACGATGGAGGAGGGCGTCGGAAGCCCAGCCAAACAGGTCTTGCTCGCGGCTTCGAAATTCAAGGCATTTAGTTGCTTGGGTTTGTGAGAAATCCTGGTAGGAGCTTACATTCTCCTTGTCCCTTCTCTCCCTGAGGACTTCCTTAGGCCTCCACACGTTTGGTGGGTAACTGACTCCTCTAAACCTACTAATCGTTTCGCCTAAAATTAAACATCCTGCCATGCTCAATGCTCTGCAGAGAAATCTAGACATATTGGGGGTCATGCTTCGTGACGGGAGGTGCATGCTATTTGTACTGGACTGGCTCCGACTTTTGAAACCTTGCAGTGTACTGCGGGACCCTGGGGTGTGGGCTTTGGGGTTGTGGTCGGATCCGGAGATTTTAGGAGGATTCGATCGAATTTAGTGTTAAGGTTTGAAGGGTTTTGCAGGAGGGTTGGGTTGTACTGATTTTCTAAATCCTAAACCCTGGATCTTCTCAGGGGAGTTCAGGCACTGAGGTCATTGGCATGCTGGTGGCATGGAGGTAGCAGACTAGGCAACTCAGGTCCCCAAGTGGGTTTAAGGTTTAGGGTTGGTATTCATCCAGCAAGCACTATCTAAGCGGCAAGCCGATGAAGTACCGATGAGCCCAAGTACCACCCCGCAGCTCATGAATACTCAATCTGGGTTGGCCCCTGGGATATTCAATATTTTCCCTAGTGTTTAGGGTTTAGGGTTTAGGTTGGGTACAGCCCCCACCCAGTAACAGTCTATATTAGGGGTTCTATTAAGGGCTATATATAACCATATTATACTTATTATCCAACTGTTACTGAGTGGGGGCAGTACCCCACCAATATACTACCAAATATTCTGGAGGTATGCCAGCCCAGGACTTGCAAGTGGAAGGTGAAGTGTAATTGATAACATTTCCATATGAGCCAGAATCTAAACTCCTTAAAGGGATTATACAAGGGGTTCTATGGGCAACTACTGTAAGGCTGATTAACGGGGATACTCGGAGTTAGACCATAGATCATATTGTTTCATAGAGACTGCCTGCCCAGGCCGTCGAGAACCGCACCGGCCAAAGAACCTTGGTTCCAAGGTTAGAAAGTCAACCCTAAACGCTAAACCCCACAGGGTCCAAGGCAGCTGCTTCTTTTTTGGGGGGGTTCCTGAGCTTTATAGGGAATATATAGGGTTTAAGGTTTCACAAAGTTAGGGGTACCTTTTTGGGGGTCCCTTTCGTAAGGATTATACTACTTGGGGTCTTGATTGGGGTGTCCCTATTTTGGGAAACTTTTTGGCGTTGAGGAGAATTTGGGTCTGTTTTAAGGGTTTAGGGTTTAGGGTTTAGCGTCTAAGGAAGCTGTCTTGTTTTGATTTTGGGCTGAGAGGAAGTTGGGTATATTTTACTTGGTAGTGTCCCTACATAGGGGGACCCCAATATAGAAGACCCCAAGATGCCACAGTCCTTATGGGGTCCCACCCGAAAAGGTACACCTAGTTTTGGGGAACCCCCATTTTATTCTGAAAGATTCAGGCTGTGGGGCCCGGAGTTTTGGCAAGTTTCGCTGCACTCTCGTTGCCTTTCACCCCTAAACCCTAAACGGCAAAAACCCTATGCTGGGTTGCAAATGCCCGGAGGCCTGCTTTCAGCAGTTGCTTTGGGAGCTTTTGGATTCTTACTGCGCCTGCCCTGTCGGTCTTACCTATGTGCAATACGTGCAATGGGTTTAGGGTTTAGGGTTTGGGAAAAAACAAGAAAAAACCCTATGCAACCGCTGGTGCTCAGGAAGCCTGAAGGTTTGGACCTGAGCATGTTGCGTGGGGATGGCCCCCTGTGAGCAAGCTTAGTAAGGGTAGTAATAGTACTAGTACTAGTACTAGTAATAGTAATAGTAATTATCGTAACGGTAATAATAGTAATAATGACAATAGTATTGGTAACCATAGTAGTGGTCATAATAGTAATAAAAGCGTATCATAGTACCAGTAGTAATGATGTCATGCGCGCTCACTGTTTCCTGTGGATATGCCAAAGCTCTGTAGATGAGTCCATATCCGTGTAGTCTACGCACACGGTAATTAATGACACGCCATGCAGCACGGCTGTCTTGACTCACCACGTGTCCACACTATTCTGGCGATAATAGTAGTAATAGTAGTAACAGCAATAGCAGTAATAATAGTAATACTAGTTATACTAGTAATAACAGTAATAATTGTAGAGTAATTGTAATAGTAGTAATAATCGCAAGAAATACTAATAGCCATCATAGTAATATCAAGAGTCGTAATACTCATAATAGTAATCCTGCACTACTCGCTTATAAAGGGACTCTAATGGGAACC